TCTATTGCTTTTTGGCTTCCACAGCTCATCGTCTGTATTCGAACTTTCCAGCACTCATCATCGGAACCATCACTGCCAACAATTCAAATCAATTACGTCATGATGATTGGCGACATCTATCATCATTATTGTTATCATCATCAAACCACAAACGCAGTATGTGCAAACCAATATGCAATGTACTTTCCGTAAAGAACTGACCGGTATAATAAGTTTGTAACGAGCATTCCATCTGCCAAAAATTTTTGTAGAACCGCCACTTGAATTCCATGCAATTCCGTTTGGTGGCGCAAAATTGAATGAAAGTTTGGGTGATTCGAATGTTTGTATGCTGATCTCAGTCACTTTTAACTTGCCGGTACCAGGTCCATCCTTAATTGGAAACGACATCGTATGAAATTTTATTTTCCCAATTTCGTAATTAACCTGAAACTGTCGGTCTATCATAAGCACAACAGCAAAAACAATTTGTCAAACTGCAGGCTTAGTCGCTCGTTTACAGACAAATGAAGTTTAGGTCCAACTGAGCCATGTTACGAGAGTACTTCAAAATGAATGATTTGAATTTTTGAATCTAACTATATCTTAAGCTAGCCGCAAAGTTTATTCTAGGTCAACTCCGGAACTGAACTGCGAAGCTTAGGTGCGCTTGTTTTACCAAATTTTTGATAGAACGAAATCCAACTAATTTCTGTCTTTGTGTAATTATCCGTAGCGCGAGCGACAACTTACTGCGTAGCAAGCTAGACACCAGGTAGATGCCGCCACTCTTGAGTCATCAAAAACACGAAAAAAAGACGGATTCATATGCGAACTTAAATCGTTTAGGCTGGAACGCACCAGATTTGCCGGTGCAATCGCACATTTTTACATTAAAATTAAAGCAATCAGGTTGCTAACTGCATGAATGGTTATGCGTTTTTGTATAAATGCAAATGAGAAAACGCATATTGCGACGACCCCGGTGTGTGTGTATGTATATGTGTATGTGTGTGTGCGTGTGTGTGTGTCTGTCCGGGTATTTCAACTCGGTACCCAAGCAAGCTCCGGCGCTAAAATTTTGCATGTGGGTTCCCCAGCCAAGTGCCATCCCAGGACCGCGGTACCAATCTTCACGCAAGTCTGAACTCCGCGTTACGAGAGGCTCAAAGTTTTGGCGGGAAAATTGCTAAATCAGGAACCAAAAAAGCTAGAAAGCTGAAATTTTGAGGTTATGTTCCCGTCCATATGGAACTCAAAATTCAGCCCCCAGGTATGCATGGTACCCGCGCGTGGCCTTGTGAGGGTTCCTGGCGCGAAAATCGCTAACTTGGGAACCAAGAATGTAAGATTGACGAACTTGCTGCAAATGATAATCTTAGTTCAGGACTGCTTCTAACTATCCACACAGCCTTTCAGCACAGTGGTCACCTTTTCATCGTGGATGAGGCAAAGTGGTCGGCAAAGAAGCTCGACAAGCAAAATGTTTATCTGCAGGGACTACGCTGACCACTTCTGCTGGAGTCCTAAAATTCTTGAAACGTGTGCTGTTCTCTGCTCAGCACAACTTCACCAACGATGGTGCTAGGAGGACAGATTTCTAAAAAAATAATTCCGAAATGATATTGTTTTCACATCTTAAATTTTGACACGTTGACACATCATCAGTATCTTGTTTTCCTTACACTTCATGTTAGATGTTGTCATGCATTCCATTCTGATTTGATCTGACTAGCTTTTTCAGCTTCTCAGGCCACAGTTTTTTTTTCTTCCTACTATTGAGTGCTTTCTATTAAATAAAGTTTTTGTGAATCTTGAACAG